CTGAGCCGTGTGCGGCTGCCACCGCAGCCTTGCTGAGCCTCACAATGAAAGCCAGAAAACTGAGAGCCCTACTGTATGTTCTTCATTCCCAGCAACGTTCCTATGAGAAAACCTTATTAATGAGCTTGCAAACGAGCACCCAACAGGGAAATGTCACAAACAAGAGCGGCTAATGCCCCAGAAAATCAAATAACTGAACACTTGGCTGATTGTGGTGCCTTTCATATTTATAATAAAAAAAGGGGGGGGCTTTAATTCACTAATTCTGAAGGGGTCAACACCTTGCTGAACAAAACAACTCATTTATTTATGTTCAGAAATCTCCAGATGATAAAGTACATTGATGTTAATCACTTCAATGCATACTACACAATTAATATCTGTACTCACCACGAACTTAAAGATTATTAAAAGTATGACAGCATACACATCTGGCTGATTTTTCACATAATTGGGCACAACAATTTCTCCTGGTACCACAAATAAGGGTCCTAACAAACAAACACTGCAAAATTCTGTGTTCAATTTATTAGGACTTAAATCCACAAGACAAAAGCAATTCCAAGTTGTAGCTCAAGCCTTGTCCTCTGTGCAACATGGTAGCTCTCTGTTTTACTGTTCCTCCTTTCCCTGTCGGACTTAAAGTAAGCTGTTGAACGGTATACCCAGTGTAGGTCTTTGCTATTTCTTTTTAAAAAAATATCTCCTTAAAAGGATGCAGTTTATACAGAACTCAAATCCATTATCTGTCATGTAACTGTTCATATCCTGGTTAATAACCATTGGTCTTAGATGAGGTAGAAAAAGGTTTCCAGAAGGCTTCATGCAGCAAAATGGGCCAGGCCTGAACCAAGTGAGTAGAATGAATACCAATTCCAACAGGTTAGAGTTCCCCCAGGGTAGTCTCATTTACCCAGAAAAGAGCTGTTCTTAATCTGAGGTCCATGGATGAGGTCAGCATTTCCCGGTGATAATCTAACGCTTATAAATAATACTACAAAAAAATCTTTTTAGGTACCAAAGAAAAAGATAGTAAAAATAATAGTTATGTATTTATTCTGATGTTTATTAAACATAACACACCTAGCAAAATAAAATTTCTAATTTGATATTTTCTCACAGGTCTTTGTTAGGGAAAAGCAATAAAGTGACTTAAAGATAAATTCTAAATGAGTTGAGTATAGACCACCTGTGGATATGGGAAAACTGGTCCTCAGATAAATGAAGTTAGGATTAACTCTGTAGGATAAGCAGACTCCTTAAACTGGAAGCAAAATGTGGTGGATCTGTGGTTTTGTTCATCTTCTCCAGGTCTATGGACTCTTAAAGGGGTGTTTAAGAAGGTTAAGGGTTGGGCCAAATACAAAATGAGGGTCGAATACTCCTCACAGAGTATCTGAAATGGTCCCACATCCACGCGGACTGGCTGCTGAATGTCATGTATTTAACTATCTCTTCCCATTGCCATCAAGTCACGGTGCTGCCTGACTGCCGAGTGGGGGGCGGCTGTGAGAGGGATGGAGTTGACCCACTGGCACAGGCCAATGACCAACAAAGCCTTAGTGCCCAAAGACCGAGTGCCTTAGGCATCGGAGGCAGGAGGCCCTTTCGTTGTTGCTGGTGTTCAGGAGAGTAAAGCTGGTAGGCCATGAGGCAGAGGGTTCCGTGTCTGGAGGAGCTACTGAAGGAATTCCTAGCTGACTCTCCCGAGCTGTCAATAGCACTCCGGGAAAGGAGGGTAGTGAATGATCAGGTGACTTTCTTTCTTTCTTTTTTTAATAAAGATTTTATTTATTTATTTGAGAGAGAGAGCAATTGAGAGAACGAGTGGGAAGAGGAGCAGAGGGAGAAGCAGACTCTCTCCTGAACAAGGAGCCCAATGTGGGGCTCGACCCGAGGACCCTGGGATCATGACCTGAGCCGAAGGCAGATGCTTTCACTGGCTGAGCCACCCAGGCACCCTATCAAGTTACTTTCTTGAACACTGAGTCTTATTTAAGATGCCAAAGAAGACTCTCAATTCCCACTCAGATTAATAAAATGGTTGGTAACTCTCAACCTTCTTTTATGTAGAAAGACTTTCTCTTTATATACATTCCAAAAAATTAAATATCAAGAAGAAAATGCCTGCGTGGCTCACTTCGGATAAACACACACACACACAAAACAACAAAAACAAGAAACAATAGTCTCCCATAAAAATGTGCTGAGTAAGGGAGCGGCGATGCTAGGTAGGAAGAGACAGGTAAGGGGGCTCTGTAACCAGGCTCACAGAAAATTCCACATGTGGAGAAATACTATAAACAAGATATTAGCCAGAAAGAAGGGAATATAACAAATCTACCTTGTTTGTTCTAAATACAGATGAGACATTTTCATAATATTTACAAATCTACCTTGTTTGTCCTAAATTTATAGATGAGGTATTTACCAAGTTCCCCAGTCAGTTTTCTATAAAAGATGACCATAAAAAGCCCCCAGCGGCAACCCATCTGGTACCCCTTTCACTCTAGAGAGCTCTCCTTTCTGTTCTCGCCTTCCCTTAAGAAACTTTCACTTCCTTCCCCTTATTACCCGCAAGATTCATTCTTCGACTCTTGTAAGACAAGAACCCTCCAATGGTGCCATGTTAGAGTTAAACATGATCAATAGTTGTGTCTTTGTTTTTGGAAGGCACTGGTCACTTCCCTGTGGGTGAGGTCTAGTAGGAGACTGAAGTCAAAGGAATTCAGGTATGCAGTTTTACTGCTTGTACTTAGAAGGATAAATCTCTCTTGAACCTACAGAAGACGGAGGACAAGGCTTATAAAGATCATTATCAAGTCTTCCAAGAGGTAGGAGGTATAGTGCTTAAAATATTTTGCATTTGGGAGTGAGTATGAGTTCATAGGTGGGTGGGGCTATATTCTATTTGGAAGATACTTGGGACGCTGAAAGAGTTTAGGGGCAGAGACTGGGTGAATGTCTACTCAGGTTTCACAAAGGAGTTAATGTATTATTAAAGCTAATGGGCCCCTACAAGGAAAGTTAATGGATATTAAGTTTGCTTAAATGAATTACATATTAACAAAGTCACAAGAAATCGATCTGCCGATTTAGATAATATCTGATCATTTCTGTTTTCCCATTATAGGGACATTACACCACAATAGTTTTGGTGATATGAAAATTATAAGCATGATGCCTATAATGAAGCTACATAATGACAGAGATGAAATGAATTAACAAGAAAAACCTGCATATGTAATGTTAAATTGAGCCAAACTCACTGAGTAAAAAAGGTGAGAACAGGATTGGCGTCTTGGAAGCAACTTTTCACATTTAATTTTAGCCACAAGGTGGAGAAATGATTAGAAGCCACATTTTACACCTTTCCCTGGCCCCCGTTCATGCTCAGGCAATGGTGGCCCTCAAGACACATGCTCACTTCTAGCCCCGGAACCTGCGAATACGGCCTTATCTGGAAAGAGACGTCTTTGTGGGTGTATCAAGTTTAGGATCTTGAGTTAAGATCATTCTGGATTAGCTGGGTGGGCACTAACTTCAACAGCAAATGTCCTTATAGGACACATGCAGAGAAGAGAAGGCCAAGTTGAGACAAAGCAAGAGGTGAGAAAGACATGGCTCACGCCAAGGACTATCTGGGGCCCCCAGGAGCCAGAAAAGGCAAGGAAAGCTCTTCTCCCAGAGCCCTTTTGAACGAGTGTGGCCCTGCTAACACCTCAACGTTGTCTTCAGTCCTCTAGAACTATGAGAGAATAAATTGGTTGTGTTAAGCCACAAAGTTGGTGATAATTAGTTACGGCAGTGCTAGGAAATTAACGGAGAGATGGTAACGCTTTGCCTTTATCAGACCCCCGGGGGGCTGCCTTTCTAACCAAACTCTTACTCCAGTCCCACTCTGCACACTCAAATGTCACCTGCCATCTTTCAGACGCTCAGTTACAGATCTCTGATAAAAAAGTGAGGTGTTGGCTACTTGGCCACAACTTTGCTGCGAGGATGGTTTTGTGCAGAAAACATTTTGGCAAGCACAAGAGTCCTCAGAGAAAACAAGGAGAGCGTCTTCAGTTCATTGGGCACAGCGAGGAGACAACCTCACTTCCCACGATCTAGCTGTTATTGATGAAGCCATTGAGATTGTGGCACCGATCCCAAAGAGTTCCACTTTTAAACTCATTGCTATACTTTAAGTTAAAAATGGAAGAGAACATGCAATTTAAAGCAAAATGCTGATGGAGAATGGGAAGAAAAGCCCCTCTATTAAAAAAAAAAAAAAAAAAATCAGCACTTCTGCTGGGGCTAAGAAAGTGGGAGGGACCACCCTCGATTGTGAAGTTGACAAAGAAATGATTATCGTCAACACTCACAAAGTGCAATTAATTAAGTCATGTGATAGAACAGATTGGAATCATTTTAAAATTTTACATTTGGGTTAAATGTAGTATTTTGAAAATCCTCACTGGCACTCGATAGTATGGCAGTGTTTCAATAAAATAATCCTTTGATTATTTTACTACTGAGACAACAAGATATAAACTCTATCATACGTATTCAATAAATGGTTTCTCAAGTGTTTTTCACCAACTGCTACTCTGTGCCCTCAGAATAAAATATTCAGGTACTGCTATGATTGGAACAAAGGCCTGTGTCCTTCCCTCCCCAAATTCCTGTGCTGGAATCCCACTGGGGTGATATGAGGAGGCGGGGCCTTTGAGAGGTGCTCAGGTCATGGGGGCGGAGCCCTCACGAATGGGATTAGTGCCCTCCTGAAAGCTGCTCTGGAGATCTCTAGCCCCTTCCACCAGGAGAGGATACAGGGACAAGGCAGTGGCTCTGAACCAGGAAGAGGGAGGGTTTTCTCTAGAACACAGCCATGCTGGTGCGCCTTGTTCTGGGACTTCCTAGCCTCCAGAATGCAGTCATAAATGACTGTTGCTCATGAGCTACTTGGTGCTACTTTGTTAGAGCAGCGTGAACGGACGAAGACAGGTACTCACACTGTACTTCAAGGTACCGCTGGGTCTGCAAGTTTCCGGTAACAGCTGGATGCTCCACCTGACAGATCACGGGGACCCCGTCGTCCTCCTTGTGCACCTTCAGCATCAGCTGACTGGTCACCGTGTACATGTCTGACCACTCCTCCACCTCCGATTTGCCTGGGGAACACGGAATATGCCGAGACATCAGAGCTGTGTGAATTCCTATCACTCTGTTTCTACAGGCTCCTCTCCCCGCCCCAACACTGCTATTGTACCCGAGACGATGGAAGTCACTCGGGATAAGGGTATGCTGTGGGTAGATAACGGATAAAATGAGAATTTTCTACTTCTCAACCTTGCAGGAGAGTATGTAAGATGTATTTCTACCCCACATAATAGATACTATTTTTATTTAAATATATTACATATGTTGTCTTCTATCTTGAAACCTCCCACAAAAAGGCAGCTGAAAGTTGAACCACGTTGCCATCTGACTGCTTATGGCATTTTGGAGGAGGAAAAAGAGAAGTGCTTTGCACCCCTAACCACCATCTGAACTTGAAACGTCTAGTAGGCTGTCAGGTGGTTTAAAAATTCCAGGACATCATCCAAATCCCTGAAGTAATTCAATCAGGAACAGAGATATAAACAAGCCCCAATGCCCACCTCCCTCAGCAACAATTACCAGGGAAAATAACTAACTGGATTTACATAATTGAAATTGTAATTGAAATGTTTAAACTCTGAGACTTTTGGAAGACCACAAAACAACAGCGGCAACGACAACAAAACCGCACTGGCAGTGGGTAGAGCAAAGTAAGATAGAGGCTTCGGGCCAGATGGGAGACACGTCCAAGAACACCCAGAAAAGGAGGGAGGAGGCTTCCGGATGGGATGAAAAGGCCAAGGCAGCCCCTTTCCTGAACTCAGCGCTCCCTGGGACACGGCGCACCATTAACTTTCTTTTAATGTTTTGTACTTATCGGTTCGCATTTAATGGCTCAATTCACTTAGAAAAGCAGAGGGGAAATGAGAAACTCCTTCCTTCCAAAACCATACCTAGGAAATAGGAGATTAAACAGAACAAGCTTTTTGAAACTGAAGCTGTTATATATAGATTTATCTGTTTCTAGATATAGATTTTTATATCCCCTTTCTAAAAGGCCTTATTCTTTTCTTCCTGGCACTCTTGATTTATTCAAGAAGCACACACCGAGCACTTACCTTGGCCCAGATACAGCTGCACACTTTACAAACATTCACTCATTTCATCTGCCCAAGAATCGCATACACTCTGTAATAGTAATATCCCCATTTTAGCAGAAATTGCTAAACACAGCTGGCACTTCTGTCAGATGACCAGAGCTGTCTGAACCGTGGGTACTACTTCCAAAGCAGCCTTGGAAGGGAAGGGGTAGGAGGGCTGACCTGCCTGTGTTAACTCAGGATGGCCGACACAGAAAGCTCAGCCTGGATCCAGGAAGGGGGCAGATATTGGAAGGTCCAGGAATCCAATGAGGGGCAGCCTCGGCCAAGGGAGACAGGGTGGGAAACAGCGTTAAAGGAGCGGCCTGAGCCATAATCACAAATGGCGAACTTTGCAAAAGAGCAGGCTGGTGAAACGTGCACATGAGCTACAGATTCCACGAGAAAGGGGGTGTCTGCAGATCCACAGCGAGGGTACAATCCTTCTCACACTTAACGCACCTGCCCCTACAGGAAAGCAGAGTCAGTGAGCTGATGGCGCAGGGATCCGTGTTAGGAGGAGGCAGAATTCACCATGTTTTTTAAATGTCTAACATGAGAATTTGGGGAGCTGACCCATCGTAGGTCAGAGGGTGAATGAGAACTGAGGGACAACATGGACACCTGGAGTTCAGGGGAACACCCTGACAGTGGCTCTTCCTTGTCTAAAGCATTCTAGTTCTTTCTGAGCGCCGGAGTCAAAATCTCGCAGCACCTTTCCCCACAAACCCTCAAACCACAGGGGGAGGATATAAATTAGAGTCAATAAGACGCCTTTAGGCTGTGGCTTCAGACGCATTTAGTAATTGATTAGGAGCCCTGTTTACGTGGATATTTTTGTTTTAGGGACATGTTTGGCATTCATCTTTCATCTCCCCCAAGGTGTGGCCCTGCTGGAGTCAGGGGCCCGCCCACTACTTCTGGAAAGGGCAGCCTGCCCCTCACCTTTTAGCTCCTTGTTCCCTTTGAACCACCTAATGGTCGTGGCTGGTTTGCTGGCCATGGCGGTGCAGTTGACTTCAATCTCCTCGCCTTCCACCGCTGTGTCTTTCTGGATATCGATCATCAGGTTGCGTGGAGGGACTACAAATGAAACACAGAATCCATTTCTGCACATAGCCTTCTTTTCATTAGAAATTCGCACCACTGCTACCAAAAAGAGGAGACAACCAGTGGACATTCCTGATGGGATTTTAAAACGAATTGCCACCAGAGGGGAAAAAAGTACAAAGACATCATTAAGAGTGTGAATTATGTCGAAGTGGTTAATTGAGAATTTCTCTCCTAAAATTATCTTATAAAATGCCCAGCCTCCCACTCCTGAGTCATCAGTGACCAAGTTATAACAACAGTGGTATTAGTTACCATTGGTTATTAGAAAACTGACCAGAACGTAGATCTAAAAGTAAGACAAGTACACGCTGGTGAATTTATCATCCTCCTTGGGAAGGATCTGGAAGGACTCTCTGTCCTTGAACTCAACCCTTGGATTTCAATCTTCATATGAAAGATCTTGAAGATAATCACCAAAGATTGAAAACTTAAGAGTCCCTTAAAAAAATTGCTCACCATAAGCACAAACAGAAAAGTCGTGCTTTAGAACGAGTTCTGTTCAGTTGAAATTATCCATAAAGAACTGGGATACAATCATGACCTCCGACGGACGGCGTTGTAATAAAATCCACTGGATAGGAAGATGTGGTAAGGTAGGACATGCCAGTTAATTTGCATTAATTTTCCCATGTTCTGAAATCTAATGCTCCAGATTTTAGAAAGCAAAGGTGAAAGAGACTATTAAGTGCCTGCAAGTCCATTTTATACGTCAGAAATAAAACCACTCTTCTTTAAGCATATTAAGCATATGGAATAAGATGGAATAAAATATTCGGGGGCTAAAGTGTGGAATATCAAATCCAGAGAAGGTAGGGTGATGGGGATGGTGAGAAAGCATGTTATCTTTTATGAAACCGAGCTGACAGTAAGACTTCACATCAGGTGCAACCTTACAACAAGACGGAGCTTCTTGAAATAAAAATCAGTAGGAATACGGAATTTGGCAGAGTGAATCTCAGACTATGTGCTCTGACCACCATGAATAAGCAAAGACAGTTCTGAGAGTTATGATTAATAAGTTTCTCAACTCAGAAGAGAAACAAGAAATTAAATATGTATAAACATGCCATCCTGATGATCAAGTTGAATAATATATCTCTGATACCGCTTCAATAAATTATGGGATTAAACCACGTATTTGGGATTTCCAACTGTTCGAGTCCAATGCAAAATTCTGTGCACAGGGAGACTTTTACATTGACTTGAAGCACTTGAAAACTCCTACAGAGAACGATGGAAAAGAAAAAGGAAAAATGGCATGTTGCTTATGTTTCCCAGCAAGACAATGTG